TTTAAATGGAAAATTTTAAAGAAAAAAAAAGGAAAAAAAAAATCATACCTCCCACACATTTTTTCAACCCCCTTTTGATTCATCATCCCCCACCTCAATCACAACCTTCAATTTGTGGTATGGTACATTGCAATACAATTTCACAGAGATCCATACACTTGAACACAAGTTTTTGTTGCAAACTAAAAAAATCCTTATTTTTGACCAATATTTGGCCCCTTATTCATAAATGTTTGAGCAATTAACCCCAAAACTCAATTCCTACTTTCTCTTCGTGATAAAAAATAACTAACTTAAAATGTAAATTTTAAACAAAAAAAAAGGAAAAAAAAAAATTACCCCTTTTTTGACCCCCGCCCCCCTTATGATTCATCACCCCCCACCCCCCTTTCCCCCCAAACCAAGCTCAATAACAGCCTTGCCTTTGTGGTATGGTACCTTGTAATACAATTTTAGAGAGATCCATACACTTGAACACAAGTTATTGTCTAGAAACTAAAAAATGCTTATTTTAAACCCCTTTTCAGGCCCCTTATTACTAAACGTTTTGGGCAATTACCACAACACTCAATTCCAGCTTTCCCTTTGTGAAATGGAACCTTGTAGTAAAATTTCAGAAAGATCCATACACTTACACACAAGTTATTGTCATGAAACTAGAAAAATGCTTGTTTTTTGCCCCCTTTTGGCCCCTTATTCCTAAAATTTTGAGGCAATTAACCCCAAAATCAATCCCAGCATTGACCCTTTGTGATATGGAATCTTGTGGTACAATGTCAAAGAGATCCATATGCTAACACACAAGTTATGTCTGGAAGTTACAAAAATGCTTATTTTTGGCCCCTTTTTGGCCCCTAATTCCTTAACTGTTGGTACCATAACCCCCAAAATCAATCCCCACCTTCCTATTGTGGTATTGAACCTTATGGTAAAATTTCATAGAGATCCATTCTCTTAAACTAAACTTAGAGTGCGAAAACCATTGTGTATTCGGACGACGACGCCGGACGACGACGACGACGACGACGCCAACGTCATACCAATATACGACCTCAAAATTTTTTTGCGGTCGTATAAAAATGGAAAAGCATCAGGTTTAAATGGTATTCCTGCAGAGATGTTACGGGCAGGTTAATCAGTTTTAGTTCCATTGATACACAAGAGTGCACACGCTGAAATGTCTCGCCTTCTTTACTAATCATTGATATTATGTTGATAGTCCTAAATATAAAGCTTTATTACAACTGTCACATAAACTTAACATTAACCAAGTAAACTAAACATTGACCAATGAACCATGAAAATGAGGTCAAGGTCAGATAAACCATGCTAGGCAGGCATGTACAGCTAACAATTCTTCCATACAACAAATATAGTTGACCTATTGCTTATAGTTTAAGAAAAACAGACCAAAACACAAAAACTTAACACTGAGCAATGAACCTTGAAAATGAGGTCAAGGTAAAAAAAAAACCTGCGTGACTGACAAATAGATCATAAAATATTTCCATACACCAAATATAGTTGAACTATTGCATATAGTATTAGAAAAAAATACCAAAACTCAAAAACTTAACTTTGACCACGGAACCATGGAAATGAGGTCAAGGTCAGATGACACCTGCCAGCTAGACATGTACACCTTACAATCATTCCAAACACCAAATATAGTAGACCTATTGCATACAGTATAAGAAAAACAGACCAAAACACAAAAACTTAACTATAACCACTGAACCATGAAAATGAGGTCAAGGTTAGATGACACTGCCAGTTGGACATGTACACCTTACAGTCCTTCCATACACCGAATATACTAGACCTGTTGCGTATAGTATATGAGATAAGGACTTGACCACCAAAAAACTTAACCTTGTTCACTGATCCATGAAATGAGGTCGAGGTCAAGTGAAAACTGTCTGACTGGCATGAGGACCTCGCAAGGTACGCACATACCAAATATAGTTATCCTATTACTTATAATAAGAGAGAATTTAACATTACAAAAAATCTTTTGTTCTTAAGACATTAATTGACAAGTGTAATAACAACAATAAAAGAACAGAGTTCTAATGTTCCCCCCCGTTGCACATATTTTATCTGTCCAAGGGCAATAACTTAAAATTATTTTTTTTTTAAATTTCTTGGGAGAAATGAAGGCTTGAGAGCAAATGCAATGCAATTTCAAATATATAATTAATGTTTCCAAGGGGCATAACTCTTTTAAAAGTAATAGTTACACACTGATTTGGGAACTTATCCAAGATATTGCTGGTATACATGTAAACCTATGATATAAGTTTCATAAAAATCTGGCAAGCATTGTACACATGAGAGCGCTAATAATGTAATTTTCCATAAAATTAATATTTCCTAGGACCATAACTCTTTTAAAAATAATTGATATTGCTGATATTAACCTATAGTATAAGTTTTATAAAAATCTGGCAAGAATTGTACCCCTGGGAGCGCTAACGAGGCCATTTTCCATAAATTTAATATTTCCAAGGGGCATAACTCTTAAAAAAAGTCAATCGTTCATCATTATAGAACTTGTCCGAGATATTGCTGATATTAACCTATAGTATAAGTTTTATAAAAATCTGGCAAGAATTGTACCCTTGAGAGCGCTAACGAGGCCATTTTACATAAATTTAATATTTCCAAGGGGCATAACTCTTTTTAAAAAAAGTCGATTATCCACCATTATAGAACTTTTACGAGATATTGCTAATATTAACCTATATTATAAGTTTTATAAAAATCTGGCAAGAATTGTACCTGTGAGAGCGCTAACAAGGCCATTTTCCATAATTTAATATTTCCAAGGGGTATCACTCTTTTTAAAAAATCGATCGGCCACCATTATAAAACTTGAACGAGATATTGTTGATATTAACCTATAGTATAAGTTTAATAAAAATCTGGCAAGAATTGTACCCGTGAGAGCGCTAATGAGGCCATTTTCCATAACTTTAATATTTCCAAGGGGCATAACTCTTTTAAAAAAAGTTGATCAGGCACCATTATAAAACTTGACCGAGATATTGCTGATATTAACCTATAGTGTAAGTTTTATAAAAATCTGGCAAGAATTGTACCTGTGAGAGCGCTAACAAGACCATTTTCCATAAATTTAATATTTCCAAGGGGTATCACTCTTTTTAAAAGATCGATCGGCCACCATTATAAAACTTGAACGAGATATTGTTGATATTAACCTATAGTATAAGTTTAATAAAAATCTGGCAAGAATTGTACCCGTGAGAGCGCTAATGAGGCCATTTTCCATAACTTTAATATTTCCAAGGGGCATAACTCTTTTAAAAAAAATTGATCAGGCACCATTATAAAACTTGACCGAGATATTGCTGATATTAACCTATAGTGTAAGTTTTATAAAAATCTGGCAAGAATTGTACCTGTGAGAGCGCTAACAAGACCAGATGGACGGAAGGACACACAGACGGATGGCCACCCGGTATTTCTATGTCCCCCGCAAAAGCATGAACGGGGGACAAAAATGGTAAACTATTTTCATGCTTTGTAGATCTCAGAAAAGCATTCGAATCTGTTATTCATACAGGTATACAATATAAACTACTTCAACACAACATAGCAGGACAGTTTTACAGGTTTTATGCTATAGTTAAAGATATGTATAATATTGTTTAGATCATTTATTGGAGTGAGACAAGCGGATGTTTTAAGCCCCAACTTATTCAAACTTTTTATTAATGATCTCCCAGTTGTTTTTCTCTTCTTGTGTTAACCATGTCAGTGTTAATAACCAAAGGGTTGATTGCTTGATGTATGCTAATGACCTTGTAATTCTCTCAGATTCATCAGAGGGACTGCAAGAGAGGTTAACTATGCTTAATAATTACTGTTCTAAATGGTATTTAAATGTAAATGAGAACAAGACAAAAGTCTTTATTAAAGCAGGGAGACATTTTAATCTCCCTTTTTACCAAGATGAGAAAGCTATTGGTTGTATGTATAATTATAAATATTTGGGCATCAAATTTATACCCTGTGGGAATTTTTTTGAATGTAAAGATGAACTGTACAAAAAGTCTATGAAAGCATGTTTTAAATTACAACAATGTATGTCATCTTCAAACCCTAGTGTTTCAACTTTACTTCATTTATATGACCATACTGTCAAGCAAATTTTAACCTATGGATGTGAAGTCTGGAGTATGTTTTCATTTAACTCAGCTGCATGTAAGAACTAGAGACTCTAAAGAGCCTGTGTCGCTCACCGTAGTCTATATGCATATTCAACAAAGTACACTCTCCAACATTGTAGACGAGAATAGAATTAATGACAAAAATCTTTTTTTTTATCTTATATTGTTGATCATTGTTTAGTTTCTCTCTATCTTATTTAATTTTTGCTCCAAACATAAAAGAGAGGGTAAAAATAAATTCCTAATTTAAGGGCAATAACTCCTATAAAGAGTAACATTCTACTAATTATGTCAGCAAAATTTGACTTGTTAGTAGGTCTTGTCTTGCTTTTCATTTTTGATTATTTAAATTTCTATCTATCTATTATATTTTTTATCATATAAGGCAAAACGCAAAAAAAATGGTAATAAAATGCTTCGCTGGGGCGCAGCTTGATACGACCGCAGAGGTCGAACCCTAAACAGTTGGGGCAAGTATGGACACAACATTCAAGCTTGATACAGCTCTGAATTTGGATTGTTATTAAATATTTGACACAGCATAGGTTTCTGACACAGAAAGAATGTGGTCTAAGAACTTGAATTTTTTTAATTTACCTATTATGGTCCAATGTCCAAAATCAAAATACATGGTTAGATTCAGCATATCAAAGAACCCCATATTTTCAATTTTTGTTGAAATCAAACAAAGTTTAATTTTGGACCCCAACTTGGACAAACTTGAAAACTGGGCCCATAATCAAAAATCTAAACACATGTTTAGATTCAGCATATCAAAGAACCCCAATAATTCAAATTTTGCTTAAATCAAACTAAGTTTAATTTTGGACCCTTTGGACCTTAATGTAGACCAATTTAAAAAACGGGACTTAAAATTAAAAATCTAAATACACGGTTAGATTTGGAATATCAAAGAACCCCAATAATTCAATTTTTGATGAAATCAAACAAAGTTTAATTTTGGACCCTTTTGACCTCAATATGAACCAATTTGATAGCGGGGCCCACAAATAAAAAATCTAAATTCATGGTTAGATTCAGCATATCAAAGAACCCCATATATTCAATTTTTGTTGAAATCAAAAAAGTTTAATTTTGGACCCCAACTTGGACCAACTTGAAAACTGGGCCCATAATCAAAAATCTAAACACATGTTTAGATTTAGCATATCAAAGAACCCTAAGAATTCATTTTTTGTTAAAATCAAACTAAGTTTAATTTTGGACCCTATGGACCTCAATGAAGACCAATTTTAAAAAATGGGACCCAAATTAAAAATCTAAAAACACGGTTAGATTTGGCATATCAAAGAACCCCAATAATTCAATTTTTGATGAAATCAAACAAAGTTTAATTTTAGACCCTTTTGACCTCAATATGAACTTATTTGATAGCGGGGCCCACAAATAAAAAATCTAAATACATGGTTAGATTCAGCATATCAAGGAACCTCATATATTCAATTTTTGTTGAAATCAAACAAAGTTTAATTTTGGACCCCAATTTGGACCAACTTGAAAACTGGGCCCAAAATCAAAAATCTAAATACATGGTTAGATTCAGCATATCAAAGAACCCCATATATTCAATTTTTGTTGAAATCAAACAAAGTTTAAATACTGGACCCTATCTTGGACCAACTTGAAAACTGGGCCCATAATCAAAAATCTAAACACATGTTTAGATTTAGCATATCAAAGAACCCCAAGAATTCAATTTTTGTTTAAATCAAACTAAGTTTAATTTTGGACCCTTTGGACCTCAATGAAGACCAATTTTAAAAAATGGGACCCAAATTAAAAATCTAAAAACACGGTTAGATTATGCATATCAAAGAACCCCAATAATTCAATTTTTGATGAAATCAAACAAAGTTTAATTTTAGACCCTTTTGACCTCAATATGAACCAATTTGATAGCGGGGCCCACAAATAAAAAATCTAAATACATGGTTAGATTCAGCATATCAAAGAACCTCATATATTCAATTTTTGTTGAAATCAAACAAAGTTTAATTTTAGACCCCAATTTGGACAAACTTGAAAACTGGGCCCATAATCAAAAATCTAAATACATGTTTAGATTCAGCATATCAAAGAACCCCATATATTCAATTTTTGTTGAAATCAAACAAAGTTTAAATACTGGACCCTATCTTGGACCAACTTGAAAACTGGGCCCATAATCAAAAATCTAAACACATGTTTAGATTCAGCATATCAAAGAACCCCAAGAATTCAGTTTTTGTTAAAATCAAACTAAGTTTTATTTTGGACCCTTTGGACCTTAATGTAGACCAATTTAAAAAACAGGACCCAAAATTAAAAATCTAAATACACGGTTAGATTTGGAATATCAAAGAACCCCAATAATTCAATTTTTGATGAAATCAAACAAAGTTTAATTTTGGACCCTTTTGACCTCAATATGAACCAATTTGATAGCGGGGCCCACAAATAAAAAATCTAAATTCATGGTTAGATTCAGCATATCAAAGAACCCCATATATTCAATTTTTGTTGAAATCAAAAAAAGTTTAATTTTGGACCCCAACTTGGACCAACTTGAAAACTGGGCCCATAATCAAAAATCTAAACACATGTTTAGATTTAGCATATCAAAGAACCCTAAGAATTCATTTTTTGTTAAAATCAAACTAAGTTTAATTTTGGACCCTTTGGACCTCAATGAAGACCAATTTTAAAATATGGGACCCAAATTAAAAATCTAAAAACACGGTTAGATTTGGCATATCAAAGAACCCCAATAATTCAATTTTTGATGAAATCAAACAAAGTTTAATTTTAGACCCTTTTGACCTCAATATGAACTTATTTGATAGCGGGGCCCACAAATAAAAAATCTAAATACATGGTTAGATTCAGCATATCAAAGAACCTCATATATTCAATTTTTGTTGAAATCAAACAAAGTTTAATTTTGGACCCCAATTTGGACCAACCTGAAAACTGGGCCCATAATAAAAAATCTAAATACATGTTTAGATTCAGCATATCAAAGAACCCCATATATTCAATTTTTGTTGAAATCAAAAAAAGTTTAATTTTGGACCCCAACTTGGACCAACTTGAAAACTGGGCCCATAATCAAAAATCTAAACACATGTTTAGATTTAGCATATCAAAGAACCCCAAGAATTCAATTTTTGTTAAAATCAAACTAAGTTTAATTTTGGACCCTTTGGACCTCAATGAAGACCAATTTTAAAAAATGGGACCCAAATTAAAAATCTAAAAACACGGTTAGATTATGCATATCAAAGAACCCCAATAATTCAATTTTTGATGAAATCAAACAAAGTTTAATTTTAGACCCTTTTGACCTCAATATGAATCAATTTGATAGCGGGGCCCACAAATAAAAAATCTAAATACATGGTTAGATTCAGCATATCAAAGAACCTCATATATTCAATTTTTGTTGAAATCAAACAAAGTTTAATTTTGGACCCCAATTTGGACCAACTTGAAAACTGGGCCCATAATCAAAAATCTAAATACATGTTTAGATTCAGCATATCAAAGAACCCCATATATTCAATTTTTGTTGAAATCAAACAAAGTTTAAATACTGGACCCTATCTTGGACCAACTTGAAAACTGGGCCCATAATCAAAAATCTAAACACATGTTTAGATTTAGCATATCAAAGAACCCCAATAATTCAATTTTTGATGAAATCAAACAAAGTTTAATTTTAGACCCTTTTGACCTCAATATGAACTTATTTGATAGCGGGGCCCACAAATAAAAAATCTAAATACATGGTTAGATTCAGCATATCAAAGAACCTCATATATTCAATTTTTGTTGAAATCAAACAAAGTTTAATTTTGGACCCCAATTTGGACCAACCTGAAAACTGGGCCCATAATAAAAAATCTAAATACATGTTTAGATTCAGCATATCAAAGAACCCCATATATTCAATTTTTGTTGAAATCAAAAAAAGTTTAATTTTGGACCCCAACTTGGACCAACTTGAAAACTGGGCCCATAATCAAAAATCTAAACACATGTTTAGATTTAGCATATCAAAGAACCCCAAGAATTCAATTTTTGTTAAAATCAAACTAAGTTTAATTTTGGACCCTTTGGAACTCAATTAAGACCAATTTTAAAAAATGGGACCCAAATTAAAAATCTAAAAACACGGTTAGATTATGCATATCAAAGAACCCCAATAACTCAATTTTTGATGAAATCAAACAAAGTTTAATTTTAGACCCTTTTGACCTCAATATGAACCAATTTGATAACGGGGTCCACAAATAAAAAATCTAAATACATGGTTAGATTCAGCATATCAAAGAACCCCATATATTCAATTTTTGTTGAAATCAAACAAAGTTTAATTTTGGACCCCAATTTGGACCAACTTGAAAACTGGGCCAAAAATCAAAAATCTAAATACATGTTTAGATTCAGCATATCAAAGAACCTCATATATTCAATTTTTGTTGAAATCAAACAAAGTTTAATTTTGGACCCCAATTTGGACCAACTTGAAAACTGGGCCCATAATCAAAAATCTAAATACATGTTTAGATTCAGCATATCAAAGAACCCCATATATTCAATTTTTGTTGAAATCAAACAAAGTTTAAATACTGGACCCTATCTTGGACCAACTTGAAAACTGGGCCCATAATAAAAAATCTAAACACATGTTTAGATTCAGCATATCAAAGAACCCCAAGAATTCAATTTTTGTTAAAATCAAACTAAGTTTAATTTTGGACCCTTTGGACCTTAATGTAGACCAATTTAAACAAGAGTGCACACGCTGAAATGTCTCGCCTTCTTTACTAATCATTGATATTATGTTGATAGTCCTAAATATAAAGTTTTATTACAACTGTCACATAAACTTAACATTAACCAAGTAAACTAAACATTGACCAATGAACCATGAAAATGAGGTCAAGGTCAGATGAACCATGCTCGGCCGGCATGTACAGCTAACAATTCTTCCATACAACAAATATAGTTGACCTATTGCTTATAGTTTAAGAAAAACACCAAAACACAAAAACTTAACACTGAGCAATGAACCTTGAAAATGAGGTCAAGGTCAAATAAAACCTGCGTGACTGCCAAAAAGATCATAAAATATTTCCATACACCAAATATAGTTGAACTATTGCATATAGTATAAGAAAAACAGACCAAAACACAAAAACTTAACTATAACCACTGAACCATGAAAATGAGGTCAAGGTCAGATGACACCTGCCAGTTGGACATGTACACCTTACAGTCCTTCCATATACCAAATATACTAGACCTATTGCTTATAGTATCTGAGATATGGACTTGACCACCAAAACTTAACCTTGTTCACTGATCCATGAAATGAGGTCGAGGTCAAGTGAAAACTGTCTGACGGGCATGAGGACCTTGCAAGGTACGCACATACCAAATATAGTTGAACTATTGCATATAGTATTAGAAAAAAAGACCAAAACTCAAAAACTTAACTTTGACCACTGAACCATGAAAATGAGGTCAAGGTCATATGACACTTGCCCGCTAGACATGTACACCTTACAATCATTCCATACACCAAATATAGTAGACCTATGGCATACAGTATAAGAAAAACAGACCAAAACACAAAAACTTAACTATAACCACTGAACCATGAAAATGAGGTCAAGGTCAGATGACACCTGCCAGTTGGACATGTACACCTTACAGTCCTTCCATACACCGAATATACTAGACCTATTGCTTATAGTATCTGAGATATGGACTTGACCACCAAAACTTAACCTTGTTCACTGATCCATGAAATGAGGTCGAGGTCAAGTGAAAACTGTCTGACGGGCATGAGGACCTTGCAAGGTACGCACATACCAAATATAGTTATCCTATTACTTATAATAAGAGAGAATTTAACATTACAAAAAATCTGAACTTTTTTTTCAAGTAGTCACTGAACCATGAAAATGAGGTCAAGGACATTGGACATGTGACTGACAGAAACTTCGTAACATGAGGCATCCATATACAAAGTATGAAGCATCCAGACCTTCCACCTTCTAAAATATAAAGCTTTTAAGAAGTTAGCTAACGCCGCCGCCGCCGGATCACTATCCCTATGTCGAGCTTTCTGCGACAAAAGTCGCAGGCTCGACAAAAACAGGACCCAAAATTAAAAATCTAAATACACGGTTAGATTTGGAATATCAAAGAACCCCAATAATTCAATTTTAGATGAAATCAAACAAAGTTTAATTTTGGACCCTTTTGACCTCAATATGAACCAATTTGATAACGGGGTCCACAAATAAAAAATCTAAATACATGTTTAGATTCAGCATATCAAAGAACCTCATATATTCAATTTTTGCTAAAATCAAACAAAGTTTAATTTGGACCCCAATTTGGACCAACTTGAAAACTGGGCCAAAAATCAAAAATCTAAATACATGTTTAGATTCAGCATATCAAAGAACCTCATATATTCAATTTTTGCTAAAATCAAACAAAGTTTAATTTTGGACCCTTTGGACCTTAATGTAGACCAATTTGAAAACTGGACCCAAAATTAAAAATCTAAATACACTGTTAGATTCGGCATAACAAATAAATAAATGTGATCAAAGATTTTACAAATCTAATGTGCCATACTGTGCAATTAAAGATTACTTCTTGAAATTTTTCAATATTTGAAATTTGAAAAAAAAATAATATTTGAAGAATAATTCTTTTTAATTTCTGAAATCTGAAATGAGAAAAAATTGACCCCCCACAATTTCTTTTTATCCCCCCCCCCTTTTTCCCCAAAAAAATTCTTTCCCTCAAGATATGGTCATAATCTCAATTCAAATTTCCAATGGAGTTGGCAACCATAATTACCCATTTAAATTTACCATAGTGCTAACTTAATCTATTTTATAATAGAATTAAAAATATAGTGTCAAATCTTTCATATGGATTTTTTTGTAAAAAAAAAAGATGCAACATTTGCAGATATTTTTACTGGTCTTCCTTTATAAATATGTATTTCTTTAAACATAATTTAAAAGCAGTGTAAGGGAAGTAACCAAAACGTTGTATTTGGATTACCTCCCTTACACTGTTTTAAATTATCTTTATTGTTCATTAACCATTACTTTATACATAATTTAAAAGCAGTGTAAGGGAGATAATTTCAATGATGTATTTGATTTATCTCCCTTACACTGCTTTAAATTATGTTTTGTACTAAAGTATTTGTCCATTAACCAGGACAACCTTGTTTTTCCCCCTTTTTTGCCCCTAATTCCTAAACGGTTTGAGCCATAACCCCCCAAAGCAAATCCTAACCATCCCTTTGTGGTATGGAAACTTGTAGTATAATTTCAGAGAAAACCATACACCATTCCACAGTTATTGTCTGGAAACTAGAAAATGCTTATTTTTGGCCCCTTTTTGGCCCCTAATTCCTTAACTGTTGGTACCATAACCCCAAAATCAATCCCAACCTTCCTTTTGTGGTATTTAACCTTATGGTCAAATTTCAAAAAGATCCATTCACTTAAACTAAAGTTAGAGTGCGAAAACCAATGTGTCTTCGGACGACGACGCCGGACGACGACGACGACGACGACACCAACGTCATACCAATATACGACCACAAAATTTTTTTGCGGTCGTATAAAAATCATCATTAAAGGGCAATAACTTCAATAAGGATTACAAAAATTTACAAAAAATTGTTAAAAGTTGACTATAAAGGGCAATAACTCCTTAAGGGGTCAATTGACAATTTTGGTCATGCAAACTTATTTGTAGATCTTACTTTGTTGAACATTATTGCTGTTTACAGTTTATCTCTATCTATATTATATGCAAGATAATTACCAAAAACTGCAAAATATCCTTACAATTACCAATTCAGGGGCAGCAACCCAACAACGGGTTGTCTGATTTGTCTGAAAATTTCAAAGACTCATAACTCTTCCATAAGTCAACTGAAAATAGTTTCTTGTGGATATGCACATCTACATATTATATCCTTATTATCTACAAATATTCAGGAAATTCTCTTGTGTGGTTTCAGATGAGTTGAGATGACAAACTGTTGCAGAAGTATATCTAAGCCGAAACTTTGAGTTCAAATGGGCATAACTCCTAGAAAAGTCAACTGATAATAATTCTTTGTGGATATGCAAATCAACATATTATGTCCTTATCATCTACAAAGTTTCAGGAAATTCTGTTTGGCTGTTTCAGAGGAGATGCGATGACAAACTGATGGAGTAGTATATTAAGGCCAAAATTTTAAGTTCAAAGGGGCATAACTCCTAGAAAAAAACAGAATCTTAATTTCACTACAAGCTGCTCAGAGTCTGAAAAGACCAGTTTTTGTGCTCGACCAGTAAAGTCGAGCACACATTTTACTCAACTAGTCTCGACATTGTCTCGACAGTACTTAACTGTACTTAATTGTACTCGACTAGGTCTCGACTTTACTTAATTAGTCTGATTCAGTACTTGATGATCTTTGTGTAGTCTGAAATGGTCTCGACCAAGGCTCGACCAGTCTCGACCTGTCTCGACTAGTCTGGACCTTCAAATTTAGCCTTCACTGGTGTAAATCAGCTCATCTAACTAAATTATATAGATCTTACAAAATACCAGTCTATTTGGTAGTTTGATTCATTGCTGTGAAATGAAAGAATTTAATTAATAGGTAAAAAAAAAGATTAAATTCAGATAGGCATCTTTAATTTTTTTTATAACTTTTTCAAATCAACTTGGATTTTCATCAAACTATACAGCTACCTTGGTAATATATTGATCTTACTGAATCACAGGTCCTTATGTAGTTTGGTGTATTGTTGTCAAATTTAAGAATTAAATTAATCTAGGTAAAAAAGCTAGAATTTGCAGTTAGGACTATATTCAGATAGTACACTTTAATTCTTTTAATAACTTTTTCAAATCAACTTGGAGTTTCATCAAACTATACAACTATCTTAGTAATATATTGATCTTACTGAATCCCAGGTTGTTATGTAGTTTGGTGTATTGCTGTGAAATTTAAGATTCAAATTAATCTAGATAAAAAAAGCAAGGATTTGCAATTTCGGACAAAATTCAGATAGTACTCTTTATTTTTTTTTATAACTTTTTCAAATCAACTTGTTTTTTCATCAAACTATACAGCTATCTTAGTAATATATTGATCTTACTGAAACCCAGGTCATTGTGTAGTTTGGTGTATTGCTGTCAAATTTAAGAATAAAAAAAGCTAGGATATTTGAAATATATCTTTTATTATAATTTGGGATAAAGTATATATGATATAGTTATATAATTTCTTAAATGTTTTATCCCTTTTTTATATATATAATATGAATATATCAAAAAGGGATCAAACTTTAGAGAAATTATTTAAATATTTCTTCTGATTAGTAGTGATGTATAAAGCAATACCTCCTGCTTGGGAAAACTTATTAAAAAGATCACACCTACCAGAGAGTTTTAAATTCTAAATAACATTCATTCAAAATTGCAGCATCCTGTTAAACTTAAATCGCAGGGCTTTTTGAATTCACTAGATAAGAAATACACGAGTTTAAGAAAAGTAGGGCTTTCTTTTTACCTGTAAAACTCACTTGTACTGAGGTAATTAAACCATATTAAAGTGGTTCTTGTATGCCATGTCTTTAAATTTGACAAAAATTATTTTTAGATATGATTAAAATACATTTTTACTGTAACTTTGGAACACATTTCGTTTTTAAAAAGGTTATCAAGGATTGTTATGAGAGTTTATGATATTAAATTCTTGTTTTAACAAAAAAAGGTGTCTTTTTTTAAAATTTCATAATTAACCTTTTTCAAATCATTTTGGTTTTTTAACAAACTTTTCAGCTATCTTTATTATATATTTATCATGCAAAAAAACAGGTTGTTTTGTATATTGGTGTATTACTGTCAAATTTAATGATCTAGTTAATAGGTAAAAAAAAGGCTAAAATTTTCAGTTTTGACAAAATTCATAATTTAGATATTTAAATTTGACAGCAATAAACCAAATTACCAAATAACCTCTTTTTTGTAAGAATAATATATAATAAAGATAGCTATAGATTTGGATGAAAATCCAAGTTGCTTTGAAATAATCTAAAGTGTACTATCTGAATATAGTCTGAATTGTAAATTCTAGCTTTTATTACCTAGATTAATTTAATCCTTAAATTTGACAGCAATACACCAAACTACAAAATGACCTATGATTTAGTAAGATCAATATATTACTAAGATAGCTGTATAGTTTGATGAAAATCCTATTTGATTTGAAAAAGTTATAAAAAAAATTAAAGTGTACTATCTCTATTTTGTCTGAACTGCAAATCCTAGCTCTTTGGACCTAGATTAATTTAATTCTTAAATTTGACAGTAATACACCAAACTTCTTAACAACCTGGAATTCAGTAAGATTAATATATTACCAAGGTAGCTGTATAGTTAGATGAAAATCTAAGTTGATTTGAAAAAGTTACAAAAAGAATTAAAGTGTACTATCTGAATATAGTCCAAACTGCAAATTCAACCTTTTTTTACCTAGATTAATTTAATTCTTAAATTTGACAGCAATACACCAAACTACATAATGACCTATGATTCAGTAAGATCAATATATTACTAAGATAGCTGTATAGTTGGATGAAAATCCTAGTTGATTTGAAAAAGTTATAAAAAAAATTAAAGTGTACTATCTCTATTTTGTCTGAACTGCAAATCCTAGCTTTTTGGACCTAGATTAATTTAATTCTTAAATTTGACAACAATACACCAAACTTCTTAACAACCTGGAATTCAGTAAGATTAATATATTACCAAGGTAGCTGTATAGTTAGATGAAAATCTAAGTTGATTTGAAAAAGTTACAAAAAGAATTAAAGTGTACTATCTGAATATAGTCCAAACTGCAAATTCAACCTTTTTTTACCTAGATTAATTTAATTCTTAAATTTGACAGCAATACACCAAACTACATAATGACCTGTGATTCAGTAAGATCAATATATTACTAAGATAGCTCCATAACTTGATGAAAATCCAAGTTGATTTGAAAAAGTTATAAAAAAAATTAAAGTGTACTATCTCTATTTTGTCTGAACTGCAAATCCTAGCTTTTTGGACCTAGATTAATTTAATTCTTAAATTTGACAGCAATACACCAAACTTCTTAACAACCTGGAATTCAGTAAGATTAATATATTACCAAGGTAGCTGTATAGCGTGATGAAAATCTAAGTTGATTTGAAAAAGTTATAAAAAGAATTAAAGTGTACTATCTGAATATAGTCCGAACTGCAAATTCAACCTTTTTTGACCTAGATTAATTTAATCCTTAAATTTGACAGCAATACACCAAACTACATAATGACCTATGATTCAGTAAGATCAATATATTACTAAGATAGCTGTATAGTTTGATGAAAATCCAAGTTGATTTGAAAAAGTTATAAAAATAAATAAAGTGTACTATCTCTATTTTGTCTGAACTGCAAATCCTAGCTTTTTGGACCTAGATTAATTTGATTCTTAAATTTGACAGCAATACACCAAACTTCTTAACAACCTGGAATTCAGTAAGATTAATATATTACCAAGGTAGCTGTATAGTAAGATGAAAATCTAAGTTGATTTGAAAAAGTTATAAAAAGAATTAAAGTGTACTATCTGAATATAGTCCGAACTGCAAATTCAACTTTTTTTTACCTAGATTAATTTAATTCTTAAATTTGACAGCAATACACCAAACTACATAATGACCTGTGATTGAGTAAGATCAATATATTACTAAGATAGCTGCATAGCTTGATGAAAATCCAAGTTGATTTGAAAAAGTTATAAAAAAAATTAAAGTGTACCATCTGAATTTTGTCCAAAATTGCAAATCCTAACTTTTTTGACCTAGATTAAATTTGACAGTAATACACCAAACTACATAATGACCTTTGATTCAGTAAGATCAATATATTACCAAGGTAGCTGTATAGTTTGATGAAAATCCAAGTTGATTTGAAAATGTTATAAAAAGATTTAAAGTGTACTATCTGAACATAGGCCGAACTGCAAATTCTAGCTTTTTTGACCTAGAATAATTTAATCCTTAAATTTGACAGCACTACACCAAACTACATAATGACCTATGATTCAGTAAGATCAATATATTACTAAGACAGCTGTATAGTGTGATGAAAATCCTAGTTGATTTGAAAAAGTTATAAAAAAAATTAAAGTGTACTATCTGAATATAGTCCGAACTGCAAATTCAATCTTTTTTTACCTAGATTAATTTAATTCTTAAATTTGACAGCAATACACCAAACTACATAATGACCTTTGATTCAGTAAGATC